ATAAGTTCTTAATATATATATATTTTCTATTTACATCTTTATATGTTGGGGGACTTACTTGTGGGATGCTAGAAGTTAACTGCTTTTCTGTAGTAATTGTTTTTTGAGTGTTCTTTTAATGTATGAATGGATTTTACTCTCCAGATGCATTTCAACCAGTTTAAACCTACTGTGAAGCTGTGCATGATAACCAAAGGGTACTTCGCTCCCCCCTTCCTCACCTCCCATCTCTCCACAAATAAACTCTCCTAGAATCCTGCTTCTGCACCCACCTGTATTGGTGTAACTCAATCTGAACACAGAAATCAGAGAGATTTATTTCCATTTTTTGCAAAGAAAGAACTATGAAATAGCTAAGATTATAAACGTAACATTAGGCCTGTACTACATGGCAGAGCTGTCAGACTTTTATAAATGTGTGTGTATATATGTATGTATACTATTCATTCATTCATTTCATTGCAGCAGTTAACCAGATGCATTGCAAAAACAGGTATACCAATAAAGACATTCAGGGTAGAAACAGTAAGGTCCCAAGAGACTGTATGTCTCGGAAGTGGTAATGCCCCAAAGTGCACCTACAAGTTTCCTTGAAATGAAGAATGTGAAAGCAATTTTAAGTACAACAGAAATTTCTGGTTTTCTTCAGTTTCCACATACACACTTCCCAGAGAATAAGCAACAAGAACAGAAGACAAATTTAGGAGTGACTGCGTGATCACTTTCCCACATCAGAAACTGGGAAAACTAATATCCATAATTCAATTACAATATGCAGAGCTCACAAACCGCCTGGTATAAAATCACAGAAGGAAAACATCGAAGGGTACAGAGATACTGTGTTAAGACCTAGCTGAACCTACTTTGAACATGACCAAGTATTCTTCCAATTGGATACCCTCATACTGAGCAGGATTGAACCTGTTTTTTTTTCTTTACAAGTAGCATGGGGGACTTAACAGATTTAGAAAACAAAGTATTAAGCCTCCTTCTTATTTAAAACATGCATCTGAACACCTCACAAAAACTGCTACGTCAGTCTCTCAGCAAAGATGTACAGAAAAGAACATTAATAAATATACACAGGTATCCGATTTCAATTAAACCAGTGTCTGAATATAAATACACATGACCATGATAGAGTCGGGCAGAAAGCAGATGAGAAGATCCTGTTTTGCCACTCCAGCTTGACAGGACTAAATATTCAACAACACATTCAAGAAATGTTCCACATCTCCAAACATTCCTAAGGCAGCTCGGAATAGATGAGATTTTAAAAACAAAACAAAACAACAAAAACCAAACGCTACACACTTCCAAAGGTCTCAACACGATAGGTTGATCTTATATTTAATAACTGAACCTGGAGGTCATACAAACATACATGTCCCACTCTCTTGGGCTGAAAAACAACACATGGGATTTTTTCATGAAATCTTGTTTTTTAAAGAGCAACCTATGCATGAAAAACACTCATCTACTGTGCTGCTATGCAATACTGATGTTTCTCAGCATATTGCTAGAAAAGACAAAGAAACATGCAACCATTATGTTCATCACTCTCTTACTTCACTGTATCACCTCCTACTCTTATTGACTTGTCCCAGCTATTCACCAAAACCTTTAGACCATAGACTCCCTCCTTCCAAAAAAAGATTGCCATTTATAGACTCATAGAATCATTTAGGTTGGAAAAGACCCTTCAGATCACAGAGTCCAACCATTAACCTAGCACTACCAAGTTCACCACTAAACCATATCCCCAGGCACTACATCTAAACATCTTTTAAATACCTTCAGGGTTGGTGACTCCACCATTTCCCTAAGCAGCCCATTCCAATGCCTGACAACCATTTTGGTGAATAAATGTTTTCTAATATCTAATCTAGACCGCCCTTGACACAACTTGAGGTCATTTCCTCTCATTCTATCACTTGCTAGTTGGGAGAAGAGACTGACACCTGCCTCACCACAATCTCCTTTCAGGTAACTGCAGAGAGCAATAATGTCTCCCTTCAGCCTCCTTTTCTCCAGACTAAACTCAGCCGCTCCTCATAAGACTTGTGCTCTTGTTTACTTGTGTCTGATTATGCAGATTGATTGAATTAGCAGATTGATTAATCTGCTTTTGCTTTTAAGCATTACTGTCCTCAAAATATTAGGAAATTATAAAAATCACTTAGTTGTGATTTTGCTAAGAACTTAACTGTTCCAAATCTCAGCACACAGACTCAAGACAGGCAGGCGTGCTTACCTGTTGCTCTGCTTCTTTCAATAGAAACTGTTGTTTCATCTCCTCCTCTTTTCTTTGCACTTCAGGGGAGAACTCATGCCTCTCTGCCTCATAGGCTTCCTGTAGACTGAAGTTCAAAATGTAAGCAAGTCTCTCGCACATTGCTTTATTCAATGTGGAAAACAAACAATCCAGAATATTAGTTAAACAATTAATATTAACAGAAAATAATATTACTAGAAATTAAATATTAATTTCTACATATCCCCAAATAAAAATTCATAAGCAAACCTAAACAGAAGCAAGCATTTTACCTTTCTAAATTTTTATTTAAGTAAACAACCCTGAGTAAAATTGTTTATGCTAACAGCTCCTGGGCAATTTACATTTCAAAGTAAACACAGCACTTAAGAAATCTCATATTCTACGACTTGAGTTATAACATTTAGTTGCAACATGCAAGACCTTTTTCTTTACATTATTTACTAATAAAACACTGAAATTGCCAGAAAAATCTCCCAAAATTTCTGCATTGGGAAACCTCAGTCTTAAAATAGAACATTACAAAAACAATGCATCTGGAGCATTAACACAACAAAAAACCTGATTATTCCTATATGAAAAAGAAGGAAGGAAAATAACAGGAGCTTCAAAATATATGCCACTCTCTTTATGCAATGTCAAAATTTAAATATAGCAGAGTTATACTAATATAGAATAAATACAATTTCTAAGTAGTTCAACATCCAAAAAATAGGGTTACTTTCCAACGTGTATCAGCCAAGATCTCAAGACTGCTTGTTTTTTCCTGAATTCTCCCTATCAGAAGCTAATACACTGCATACTATAACACTACTATAATTTGAAAATATACAGGAAGTGTAAAGTAGTTCAGATCATTGAGCACATATCTGGCAACAAAACAGTACAGCAAGTAATTAAAGCACTTCTTTACTTCTAAATCTATGCCTCCCTTCTCTTTTTTTTTTTTTTAAAAAAAAGTTAGCCTGCTAGATATTTCAGTACATGAGGCTTTTTTTTTTCTTCCATACAACAGGTACTTGAAATCAAGAAACTTCTTTCATATCAAAGCATATCATAGCAAATTAAAAGATGCCGGTAATTTATTCACATAGTACCACAGGTGTGACATCTTCAGGGTCAGTACTACCACTGCTATCACCACAGTGCTGGCAGGAAAAGTTCTGCTTTTCAAGGAAAAAGGAATGGAGCTTGTACACAGACGTCTTTCATACACCAAAGAGCACACTACCTTTGAAAGCATACCGGCTTCACAACACAAGTTCTTCCAACAAAACATTTACCACTAACTTCTCGAAGTCACGAGACTCCAAAGAGGCAGAATTGGTGGATCCGAGCTGTGCTAATGGCTGTTACAAAAAACAAGAGGATCTGTCCAGTATCTTGTAGGACACATGGCTTATGAATGGATCAAAACAAGGAAAATGTTCTAGCTCTTTATTCTTGGGCTTTCCTCTTACATCATTCATCTCTTCTAACACTTTCCTAGTACTGATTAGTCAGCCCTTCTCAGCTATGATGACTTACTGTCCTTTGTCAGGTATCTCATGCCTTTCACTCTGAGGTAAAATAAACGGATATGTCTATAGAATATTTAAATTTGCTTTATATTTTTAATACACTTTAAGTCTCATCTTCTACTGTTTCTATTAAAACACTTTATAAATTGAAAGACTTATAAAAAAGGATATCTAAAAACTGATTTAGAGCAATAGTAAGCTCAAACAGCTCATTTCTATATTCAAATTTACAATAACTGGGCAGTTTCTCAATCCTAAAGTTTCTTAGTTGTATTCAAAATATAAAGAGAGAACAATCATCTTGAAATTGCTTAAGACTTAATGTTTATAAGATCAAGGTCACTTTTCCTATTTTACCTTATTTCAGCAACATATTGCAACAAAACAAATTTGGAAGAACAACTTTTTGGGTTTGTTTTCTATCAGCTGTGAAGTAACAGGTCATCCCGAAATTGTACTTATCACATGAAACAAGGGCATGCTTTTCCCACAGGTATTTACACTATCTTTAAGTTTAGATAGCAGACATATTAATCATAAAGCTACAGCATGGATTTTTCAAGTGTTAGCAATCCCAGTTGACACACTTTTGGACCAACATGCTGCCTTTGGATGCAATAAAGTAGCTAGAGCTAGTGCTGAACTAAGCTAATATGCTGCAATCACACCTTCATTTCATTATGTGGACATCTTTAGACTCAACCTCAGCTAGTTTATCAGGTAAAAGCAATTTTGATTTGAAATTAATAAAATATTAACTTGGAAGACACTGTATTTACTAAGTAACCAAATCAGATTTATAAGGAAGAAGAGAAATGAATGTGTATTTTTTTTTAAATCCCTCCTGCCCTTGAACTGAATTGTTCTGGAAATCACAAAGACAAAATTAAAACAAACTTTCCTCTTCCGTGCTTAGTATATCAGCAACATAATGATCCAAACAGTCTTTGGTTTCAGGAGGTTTGAGAAGCAGGGGGAAATAGTTCACCAGCTCTTAAGCCAATCCTTTCAACATTACTGCATCCATTGCTCACAGTAAAACACTTTTCCATTTACCTGAAAACTGGTTTCACTGCTTCTCATATAGCACATTATGAAAGTCAAATTCACAGGTTCTTTCCTTTTGCTGGGTTGGACCCCTAGAGTTTTATACTCTGTACAAAACCACTTGCAAAATTAAGATGTTAACGACAATTATTCAAATGATGTATTCTTATTGAGGTTTTAGAGGAAGGGAAGGGATTGTGAAGAAAGTCTACACCTTATTAATCCATTACATACCTCATAACAGCACTATCACCTACCTCTCGACACAAGCATAGCTGTGACACGCAGTTTTTCTATCTGCATAAGACTTAGAACATGAAAGCCTAAGTATAAAGATGCAAATCAAACATGTTCTGTTCATAAACAAAGATTCTGAAGCGAATTCAACTCTCAGCAGAACACAATGTTTGTGCGCTTTGAACTACGCAGTTATTTACACACTATTTTACAGTTTGTTCATTTAAATTTTAAAAAGCTTTCAAACTTTGAAAAAGTTGAAAGATTTGAAAACTACACTTGCAAAAAGTTAAATAACATTCAGCTATCAATTGACATATGTCAGAAGAACTAAAAAATTTACAAGTTAACTAAAGGCAGCTATTTTTAGCATGGTCCCTTGACTCAATGAAGTACCTAAGCTGATATTACGCAACACTAAGGATGTGATAGGTTTAAATAATTACCATTTTCCCAGTAGAGGCGTGAAATACATGTATTTTGGATGAAATTCAGCCTTACCATAAGAAAGTTAAAATACTTAGCTCCAATGCAAAGCTCTGCAGTTGGTCAGATGAACTCCATGCCCAAGTGACTTCTTAAGGAAGAAGTCTAATAGCCTTTCAGATAGTAGGTTTCCTCTCTCAGAAAAAGACAACTAGAGTCATAGCAACCTTCCTCTACATATTAAATTCTTCGCATTACTTCATCATCCTCAAAATAGACTGAAAAATAAACATTATTTTATTCTGAGAACTGTAAGGTCTGAATATCTCAGTTTCAGGGAGAAATAAAGCAATGGAATGTACAATTGCTCACATATTGAGCAACAGAGATGTTTGTTACAATTATGTTTAACTGCAATTATGATGAAGAACAAATTGTAATTATGAGCATAGAACAACAACTAAATCAGAGAATGATTAACATCAGAGAATCCAAATATGCAAGCATACAGCCTGAATACCAATCTTCAGGTTTTTTTCAACAGACCTCTGCTTATTATTCTTGTTTTGAAAGAAGGAAACTGTCCCCTCAATCAGTCAATACTGATTCAATGCAATCATATATATATATCAAACAATGAACAACATATAAATTAGACCTAGTCAAAGTGAAAGAAATGCTGCTCCAGCAACACTCTACAAGTTACAGCAACTGCAACGGCCCTAGAACTTCTATGCAAAGTGCAGGTGAAAGCAAAGAATTTAAGTCACTAAAAACAACTATTTGAAGGGAAGCCATTTAAAAGTCATTTATTTTTGCCAGAACAGAATGGGTAAGGACAATTTGACCACTAAGTAAAACAAGAAGTAAACAAACCAGTTGGTTCAAAGCACAAGAAACTTGTTTTTAATGCATAGTCTTGCTTTGTTTTCATGTTGGTATTTCCCACTATAACTATGCAATACTAGCACCTTGATAAACCACAAAGGCTTGAACAACTCCTGAAGCATCAGTTCTTCCCTGTCAGGATTCTAACAACTGACAAAATACCATGCATAAAACGACCAAAGGAAGCTGGAAGTGGAAGAGATGACAGAACTGGAAATAAAAGGTTAAACAAACTGGATATAAAAAATGTAAATACCTCCTGCAGAAAGCAGCTTTACTACATGAAACCACCGAGTGCCTCTAACCCTCTGCTTAATTTCCCTTTGGAATCCTCTATTAACTTCCTACAGCCTAACAAGAGATTTCTTGACCTGAAAAGGCTAGATACTTGTTATTAGGACAGATAAAGTGGGAAGTCAACAGTGTAACCAACAACTTGGTAAAAGCTTTTTCTTCAGCTCCTTCTGAGATTTGAGTCCAACCAAACCATGGTTCAGAATCATACATTATTAAGGGAGAAAGCAAACCAGCATGGTAATGTATAATGAAATTAATATAAAAGGCATAAAGTGCATATATGTGAAAAAAAAAATTACATTCTCCATGACAAAAATTAAAATCCCCAGGTTTATTCTAAAAGAGAAAGATTTCAGAAATACAGCTAGCTTGAATGCCTTTAAAAGCAATGCTCATACAATCCCATATACTTCTCCATTAAGATAACTGAACAAACAGCTACATACCTACTCTGATTTTTAAAATCCCAATTCTTTCCTTTTCAGAAAACTTATTCTATGTATGAACCCTACTCTGTATTGGGTTGATACAGTCAAGTGTCAAGCAAATGGATGCTGAAAGCAAGTGCTGCACATGAAGTCCTTTACCTGTCTGATTTGTTCTCAGGACCAATGTCACTGAAGCCCATCTCCTCCAGTCTGCAGCGCCTGTACAACTCATAATACCGTGCATGGGTCTGCTCTTTTAAGTCTTTCATATTGCAAACAAGCACCTTGCGCAGCTTTACAAGGTCACAGTGGTTCCCATTTTCCACTAATCAGTTAAAAGAGGAAGACTATTATTGTGCACAGCTAGCAAAATATATTTTAAACAGTATTGAGATTAATTTATTTTGTTTACTAATTATACTTCCAGGAAGAGGCATCTCATTGTTTGTTATACCTCTTATACTTCTTCATACTTTCTAATATACACATTGAAGAACTAACTTTAAGTACTGGTGAACATGTTCCAACACACTCCAATTTCCTGTTTGAGTTGAGCAACAATAAATTTCTCTCTTTTTTTCCCTTCTTTACTGACAATCATAAAACTTTGAAATTTGGTAGTGCCAGAGGCACTGCCACCATACAAATCTACCCAAATAATACACACACCATTTCATAGCTTGATTCCAAGGATGCATCAGTGCTGATGAAACTACCAGTTAGTGCACATCTCAAGTATTAATTGGTAAACTCCTTAAACTGTTGATCCAAAACACAATCACTATGGCATCAGTGGATAATATCAGTCCTTTTAGTATTGGTAAATTTTATACTTCAACAACAAAAATCTCCTTAAAAGATTCTCCTTTGAGAATTCATTTACCTTCTACAACTCCCCAAGGGTACTGACGAGCTCTCACCATTTTGTTTCCGATTTTCACCTCTTCTGTACTTCCAACTACGGCAAATGGCAAATGCCCGTGTGAGAGTCACATCAATACAGTCTTATCTCTCAGCATTACGTCAGAACTGAAAAGCAAACACTTCAGAAAGAAATTGGGGGGGGGGGAAATCACCATTTCAGGAAAAGTTAACAGGCAGTTTCAAACTAAAAGCCACTTTGAAGAGATCAGTAGCTAGTCAAACTACTGATACAAAAGTCAAGCTACAGTAACAAAACTGGGAGGAGCAGTTGATAGACCAGATGGGTGTGCTGCCAATTCAGAGAAACCTTGACAGGCTGGAGAAATGGGTCAACAGGAATCTCATGAAGTTCAAATGAGAGCAATGCCATGTCCTGCACATCCGGAGGAATAATGCCATGCTCCAGCACATGCTGGAGGCCGACCGTGTGGAAAGGCATTTTGCAGAAGAAAGATGTGCGGTTCCTGGAGGAGAACAGGTTGGACCTGACTCAGGTGGTCTGCCCCAGTGGCAGACAACTACATCCTGAGCTGCATTAGGAAGAGTATCACTAGTACAAAGAAAGTTGCTCCACAACATATCCCTTTGATTTGCATTCAGCCAGAGTTCAAATCACCTGTAACAGTCATGAGATGATCACAGGTTTGAACCCAAGGTAGGGTTACTGCTGTGGGCTTGGTCAAATCACCAGAAATACAGGCTGGGTAGTGACTGACTGCATGCTGACCCACAATAGCTCACCAAATAAAACAAAATATCATTAACTGGAAAATAAATCACTAGCAGAGCATGAAAGGGGTAAGTAACAGATGACCACCACACAGCAGAAGGACCTGTTACTGAATGACAGCCTCCCTCCCCGGCACAGGTGACAGAGGTTGGGACTGCAGAACTGCACACACCAGTGTACTGGCTCCTCCTTCCTACTTTCAAACCCCAGTACATGCAAGCATATGTTTCTGTATACAGAATCAGAGAACGGCTTGGGCTGGAAGGGACCTTAAAGATCATCTGGTCCAACCTCCCTGCCATGGCCAGGGACACCTCCCACCAGACCAGGTTTCCCAAAGCCCTGTTCAACCTACATCTACAAACATATGCACGTGAACAGCAAATACAAAGTGCTCAAAGCAAAGACATCCAGCTTTGCAAGCTTAGTTGAAGCTGGCACATACTCCTGGGAGGATCTGAAAGGACAATAGTAAAAAAAGCCAGAACTATATCTGACTTCTAAATCCCCAGCGAAAATCTGTCCTAATTTCAATCTAAAGTACTAAATAAAAGGAAAAAGCAGGTGGAAAACTGAAAAAAAACAGAAAAAAAATGGAGAAACGAGGCACCTGAGTATCTTCCCAAACAGATGTAAGGTAGTATTTGCTGAGGAAAAGAGCAAAGCCAATTTGCCCACCCATGTTAGTAATTATATATTAATTGCCCAGAAATTACAAAAAGTATTTGAGTCAGAACCTCTTTTCTGTTGCTGAGCCAGAAAAGAAAACGCCTCCTAAAACAAGCAGAGGCACAGAAAGATATCCAAGTAGGGAAAAAACCCAAAGCATACGAGCTTTTTTAAGGAGAGAGAAAAATAAAAAACCCAAACTTTTTATAAATACAAACCTGTAAGCCTCAAGATAATGGTGAAAGAACAGGCATGAATCGGCATTAGAGACTGAAGCTTTAGTACTGAAATTTTGTCATTTACTTACAGTCATGATGGTATTAAGTTTAGAAACTGTTTCATCATCAGTTGGAAACTGGTATGTCTGGATGCCATTACTAACTATTTCACTCATGATTTTGTCCTTGAGCTTCCGTAGTTCAGTTTTAGAAATGCTGTCTGCTTTGCCTATAATTGGTATAATGTTCACCTATTAATGATACAAATTATATGAAATGTGTAAGATAAGGAAGGAGGTCTCATACAGTGAACTACTCAAAAGAACAGCAGTGCCTACTTATTAACTAAATAACATTAAGTATTTATACCTCTGCTAAAGAAATACATTGTTTCAGTTTATAGTACCAGGGGACATGCTTCAGATGTTAAATGAAAGCTGACAGTTTAAATACATCATGAAAAGGAAGCTAACTACCAAACCCTGCCTACCCTTCAGCCTCTTCCTTGGGTTTCTTCCAAGCTACATCTTGTTCACTTCACCACTGCAGCAAAGAGTCTCTCAAGTATCTGCTGCGAGCAGAAGAATGAGGAAGACTGAAGAATCTTGCTTAACAGTAAGTTCTAATAAGGTAAACTGCCCTATCTCTTAAAATACTTACAACAGTAACTTAGGAAGGCAGTAGATGCCAAATTTTTCTTAAAAAGACTATCATCACTCCCAAGATATGCATTTTTCAGAATCAGATACAAAAAATTAATGCCAATGTCCAGATACTTTGGAAGAAAAATACAAATTCATCAAGATTTCAGAAGATGAAAGTTTTACAGATTTCCTTGATCACAGCTGCAAGGAAGGAGAAAGAAGAAAAAACAAACAAAACAAAAACAAACAACAAAAAACCACCCACTAAAACAACCCTGTACCCATTCTTTTCATTCTCCTGAATATTCTGTCTGAATGTAAATGCCTAAGCATGGAATTTCAAGAACAGACTCAAAATGAATGTTTTTGAAATAGGCCTTTTGTCTTAAGCAAAATGTCCAAATGAAAAAAGCCCATACCATCTCCAAAGTATGACTTCTAAGATTACCTGATGATAGTTCTTAATTGCGTAGCATAGACAACCTAAGCTCGTATCAGGTAAAATATCTAAAATCAAATAAAATGCTAGAATATTTTTTCAACAATTGAGTTAATTTAGGATTTTATGAACAATCGATTATAGCTAGGAGTAATTCACAGCTTCAGATTAGCTGAGGGACATCAATTTAGGTTTTCCATCAAACAGCTTTAGAAATGGGTGGAACAGAGACCTCAGAATTAAATTAACCTTTACTCTTCCTTTTCAACATGAATGTTCTCCAAGCACTTGTTAATTAGGAGAGAGTTTCTTAGACAAAAAATAGCAGAGAAAGACTACTGAGGAGACCAGTAACAAAAGAAAAGTAAAATCACCAGAAACTGTGATTACAGCTATCAACATTGATGTTAAACCACAACCATTATATTAAAATTTAAAAGCAACACTACTTCGGCTTTAGATAAGAAACGAAACAAAAAAGTTATCTTTGCTTAATCTGTTAACCAAAATTAATTTCTCCTTGCAGCACCTAAGGTTTCCTTGAAAATCAGTATCTCAGTATCTCAGTATCCTACAATAACATTAACTGAAAGCACACATTTGTACTAACAAAAGACCTAAATTGTATTGGTTTGGACTACATATAGGTGTGCCTCAAGTCCCCCTGCTCCCTCCCATGCCTACTACTCACTCAGAAACCAACTGACTCCCTTTCAGCCTCTTCCTCAGCTACAACTCTCAACAATTACAAAACTGAATTTTGCTACAAAGCTATAGGCTTTAATACAGAATCACTGTAACCCCACATAAAAAGCTGACACTTGCAAACCCAACAGTCCTGCCCTTCCCCTTGCCACCAGCTGCTCATTGCCAGAAAGAACAAAAATCTGTGCAAAGAAATCAATTACTTTTCAGCTTGATCCATTCCCTAACGAAGCAAAAACCTTTAGCTTTCAATTTACAGCAGTTTCCTCGACCAGGGAGCTGGCTGCCCAACACACTTGAGCATGTGTAACACTGCCTCATTCAATAGCAATGCAGAATGACCATGCAAAGTCACCAGGATAAAACTTTACCCATGCACATTACTTCTCTGCTAGCACCAAATTCAGCCCTCTGATAGCGCTCTACCTGAAATGCAAGGCATCACTTACCACCCTAAATAGAAAGCATGTTATTACTCTAAATTGAGATGTTCATGTAACACCTTACACTAATGACAAAACATCTGTCCCTTTATGCGATAGAGAAGGCAAAAATACATATACTTTAAATTACTATTGGTTGATATCTTGCAGGCTGATTTAAGTGTATCTTTAAGAATCAACACAAAAATTTCCAAATATTCCTTTCAAACTAAAAAAAAACCACAAACCCAAACCCCACAAGGTACACTTACACAATTTCCTAAACAGTAATCTGTATATAATTCTGCAAGGATGACTTTAAAATGCAGATCTATTAGGTGAATAATCACTAGCTCCCAGCAAGAAATCATACAGAAGACGTCCTCCTTAATCTGTGACTGAAACCTGGCTGGTCTGTAGTGGTTCAGTCCTAAACAAAACTATAGGACTTTGCAATGTCTAAAAAGCTAGAGGCCAAATTCTTAGCTAGTCATCCAATTTATAAGCAATAGTGAAAAATTAATTGCCCACAGATACATCTGTATTGTTTTGGTTGTTTTTGCCAGGATTACAGAGCATAGGATGACCCTATCTTGTTCCAAGAATCCTCTTTACCTCTGAGCTGTGTAATCCAGTCTTGGTTTGTACCAAGCAGACCATAATAAAAGCGTAACAGTGTACACCATGGTGGATTTAGGAAGAAACTGAAGACAATTGTCATAGATTTCTACACTCAATGTAGGCGTGCTGCTGTAACACCTTCTCTTTGTGGAGTCCTGTACTCATCAACCTATTTCCATTTCTTTTGGAAGAAACACTGTTTTTAAGGGAGCACAGTAAAGAGAGGGCACAAGCAAGAAACAGTATTTTTGTGATTTAACACAACCTCCAAATTCAAAACTCAGAGTAGAACAACATGAAACTGTTCCATTTTCTAGTATCAAGGCTCTTCAGCTATAAATGCGTATTACAGAGTAGTTTCACAACCATTTTAATCTGGTATAAACAGAAACCACAGCAGAAAGAAGTGACCCTGCTCTCTCCTACCTTTCTCCCACCATACCACTCCCAACTTGCTCTGTGCTACTGAGAAAGTTCAAAATCCAAAATACATCCACAAACAAAATTACAAAAATACCAAATGTGCTCATCAATCAACAAGTGTGGAAGAGAAAGCTTGATCCTTGTTATCTTGAAGAAAAAACTCATTAACAAGAAAATTCAGCA